ACACACACACACACACACACACATATATATATATATATATATATATATATATATATATATCTATATATATATATACATATACATATACATATACATATAGTGATCTACCTCCTGAGTCTCCATTGCATCCACCCTGGTCTATGCGGCCGTAGTCACAGAACTGTGTGATCTTCAGTGGATTTGTCAGTGGCTGAGAGAAGATACTGCACTCCGAGGAATAGTCCACCTGTACATACATGTGCAGAGGTATCCATTAGTGTACATACATACAAAAAGGTATTCATTTAAGTACATACATATGCAAAGGTATCCATTAAAGTACATACACATGCAAAGGTATCCATTAAAGTACATCCATATGCAAAGGTATCCATTAAAGTACATACATATGAAAAGGTATTCATTTAAGCACATACATATGCAGAGATATCCGTTAAAGTACATACATATGAAAACTATTCATTTGAGTACATACATATGCAGAGGTATCCGTTAAAGTACATACATATGAAAAGGTAATCATTTAAGTCCATACATATGCAGAGGTATCCGTTAAAGTACATACATATGAAAAGATTTTCATTGAAGTACATACATATGCAGAGGTATCCGTTAAAGTACATACATATGAAAAGATTTTCATTTGAGTACATACATATGCAGAGGTATCCGTTAAAGTACATGCATATGACTAGGTATCCATTTAAGTACATACATATGCAGAGGTATCCGTTAGAGTACATACATACAAAAAGGTATTCATTTAAGTACATACATATGCAGAGGTATCCATTAAAGTACATACATATGAAAAGATATTCATTGTAGTACATACATATGCAGAGGTATCCGTTTAAGTACATACATATGAAAAGGTATTCATTTTTCTCACGCTACACCCCATCTATTTCCTCCACAACAGTAATACACCACTTCTTGGTGTAAATGTGTGAATCAAAACCCTAAAAACCCTATAGGTTTTCAACCAACCCTGCGCCGGTCTAGATTTTAAGGTTTAGGGCTACAGCGAAACAGTACTACACTTACCTACTACTTAGTCCTAGCCCACCGCCACATACCATCATGCCGATGCCGTTCAGTGACGTAGAGGCTGCTCCGCTTGAGTATTGGGACGCACCCCAGCCAATCAGCTCGAACTCCTGCAGATGCTGATACATATCTTGGCTCTGATTGGGCTTAATAGGCTCTTTCTCCGAGCTAGTCTCCAGTTTGATAAGCTATGTGTTGGGTATAGGTACAGATTAGGAAAGGGGGGGGGGTGGGGGTGCCATGGGGGGTTTAGGCATGGAGAAATCCTAAACCCTACGACAAGCCTTAAAACCCTAAAAGCCTGCTGCATGGTGCATGTGAGTGTGAGCTCTCAGACCGACCCGAGCCAGACTTTGTTTAAACCCTAAAACCGTATAATAGTTCATAAAACCCTAAAACATTATAATAATTCATTAAAACCTAAAACCTTTTATTAGTTCATTGCATTTATTTGGTCGTCCACGAGTCTGTGCGTGGGCGCAAACACAAACAGTCTGTGTCATGTACACCAGTAAGATTATATATATATATATATATATATATACATAACAAAAATACAATACATACACACACACACATATATATATACATATACACTTACATACATACATACATACATACATACATACATAAACACACACACACATATATATATATATATATTAATAATAATAATAATGATAATAATACCATTAATTTATATAAGTTAAGTGATGACATGTACAAAACTAAGCAAATGCACACACGCTTATGCATGCCAGGGGGCGAGCGACTATGTTGTTCTGTGTTCCAGGCTACTACTACACAGTGCAGAGCTATATTCTTTTTGTACTGTAGCCTCGCTACATATATTCTACCTATACTTTAAAGGGCTTAGCTACATATACATAACCTTTCTTATAGGGGTTGGGATTTAGGGTTCTCTACACATCATGCAGATGATCAAGGGCACGCGAGAAGTGAACACACCAACTACAGATACCTACTACTCACTCAATCAGTTCTAGTCCCACGATTAAACGGATTAAATGGATTCTTCTCACATCATGCGACCACTGCGCGTACTCTCACATGTGTAATACCTCAGTTGTCAGGCATTGTAACATACAACGTTACGCGACTATATATATATATATATATATATATATATATATATATATATATAAACATATACATACATATATATATATATATCACTCACCATTAGATCGTTCTCAAAGGATGCGT